CCCTGTGGAAACACTACATCTGCAATATCTTAATCCTACTCAGTGAAGCTCTTCACAGTAATTGGATTAATTATGTTGAGTTCTTTTGGACCAAACCTTTTGTCTTTAGAGTTGATCATTGTTTGTGATTGCATGTTTCCTTCAACTGTGTTCTCCCTGGCATTCAGAGAGGAGGAGGGAGGAAGAGGAAGAAGGGAAGGAATCCTCCCAACAGTAGCCTCATGTGTGCTTTTGTGCATTATTCTAAGAATAAATTTCTGTTCAAACAATAACCCTTAAGTTCTTTATTGACCTCAAGGTGTTGTGCAGTTTGAAGGGAGGTTCCTCCTTTTACATTTGCAATATCTTAACTCTAGACCTCAGCCATTGGGCTCACAGCCCTGCCTTGAACTAAAACAACTCCAACTTTCTATTTTCTTCAGTAGGATTCTGTGGAAATTTTCATTTGAGAATGGGGGTTCCGTGGCTAAAAATAAATCCCTTGTTGCTTCTTTAAGATACAGTTATGGAATTCCTTCACCAACCTAGGCATTTTCTCCCAGATGGACTCATGTAGGGCTCTTGTCCCTTAGCGTAGCATGTTAGATAATTCGTTTCAACAGTGGTCTATCTGGAAAATGTAGACTTAATAGGACTTTCACGCCTTTGAATTCAGTCAGTAAACCTGAGTTAGGATGGACATTCGCTTGTGGTTAATCCAATCACTCTTGATGTGTGCTGTCTAATATAGTGGACACTAGCATGTGTGACTGCTTAAATTTAATAGAAAAAAATTACATTGCTAGCTGTAGTCACATTACACACACAATAACCACATGGTGGGTAGCATAGTTCCCTCGTCCAGGAAAGCTCTATGGGATTGTACCAACCTACAGTCCAGGAGCCTCCACTCAGTCAGGCATAAATCAGCACATTATCCACAGTACCGGACACATCTTCAATGATAGTTAAATAATACCTTATTTAAGAGATCTGCTTAGGTTGTGTGTTGTCATGTTAATTCTGACTCATTAGTGACCTTGTGATTCTTTTGTTAGTTTCCCTTAGTTTTCTTGGTTTGAAATCTATGTTCTCCCTAGAGTAGCTGATGGGTTCTAACCGCCTAACTTTCACTTAACATCTGAGTGTTTAACCATTGTACCCTCACGGCTCTTTGAGCTGCATGTGTTATATGCCATCTAGTCGATTCCAACTCAGCAACCCTGGATAGCATTTCCAAGGAGCAGCTGGTGGGTTTGAACTGCCAACCTTGCAGTAAGCAGTAAAGTGACTATCCTATAGTGCCACATCAGGACCCCTGGTCTTCGTATAGACACCTGATTTATTTCCAAATTGGAGACTGATAGACGCTTCTGTAAAATCACTCTCAGGATAGGGATTAGTAGATCTTGCCATCAGTAAGAAGTCAAGTCCACAATTGCTTCTGTTGGTCATGTTTAGTGGGGAGGGAAACCTCCATTATGTTTCCTCCTTTCTCCCCCTTCCTTAGGTAGGCATTCCTTAATCTGACCTACATTTCTGGCCTCTTTGCTCATTCTTCCCCTTCATTCACCCAATGTAACTTTCATTGTTGTTCATGCTCGATTTTTTATTTCTGGGCCTTTCTAATGCTATTCCCATTTCCTACCAGTCAGTTTAAGAACTAGCTCAAAGACACAAGGTGCAAAGCAATAAAAATGTCTTAAACATAATGAAACACCTCGAAGAATGAATTGTTGGGCCCCACAGTCCACAAAGACAATCTCAGGAACACCATGGTCAATTGGTGTTCTACATCCTGCTTTGGTGAGTAGTGACTGGGATCTTAAAAACTCATGAGTGGCCATCTGAGGTCTCTCTGGAGAAAAGAGTGATGACAACTGAAGACACTTGAACAATAGATCATGTGAACATCAGTCTCCATGACACTGAGACCAGAACTAGATGGTGCCCTGCTACCACTACCAGCTGCTCTGAAAGGAATCACATTAGAAGATCTTGATAGAATGGGAGAAAATGTGGAACAAAATTCAAAATCATAAAGACCAGATATACTGGTCAGGTAAGAGCCTAGTGGAACCCCAAGACTGACCCTTGGTCACCTTCAATCTGGTACAGAACTCATTCCTGTGACTCAATTTTCAGCCAAGCAATTGATACATTGGGGGGGGAGGCACGGGCACAACACTAATGAGGTATACACACCATAGAATGGTCAACTGTTTAAGTTCAAGGGCAGCAGTTACCCAGGGTTAAACTACAGAAGGGTTGGGAAGGAAGGAGGAATGGAAAACAAAAGAACAAGTAGGATAAGTGATGTTATATGGAGGGGATTATAATTGAGATAAAACAAAGTGTATGATTTGTTGAATGTAAAACTGATGATCTGCACTGCAAACTTTAACTCAATTCACAAGTTAAAAAAAAGGCCACTCTACAATACCTTGCCTTGCTCCCCTCAGCCCCCTGAACTCCCATGACCATCTCTATCTTGGTGGTATTTTGTGGTGGCATCTGGGTCTATCTTAACTTCCCATACTATATGGGCTTTTTGAGGGTAGGTGTGGGTTTTAAAAAGTCAATGAAGTCACTGACATTCCCCAAACCAAGAGATGACAGGCGAATATGAGAAAAGTGATGTTCTATGACTCTGTGAAGGCTATTGTAAAGGGCACTGCAGCTCACCTCTGGTTTGCTGGAGCACTAAAGCCACAGTGTAATAAGTTCTAGCATCCTCAAGTCACCATTGCTATGAGGTAAGCCCAGACTGGCCCACATGGAGACCAAATGGAGAAATCTTGAAAGCCACGCAGAGAGAGGCCTAGCCAGACCCGAGTTATCCTAACCATCTGCTGTGCACTTCCACCACTGACCTGGAACTGCCACCACACTTTCCCCAAATTCCTGGCCCAGAGAATTGTTGTTGAAGTCTCTTAAGTTTGGAGATAATTTTTTACATAGCAATTGTCACTTCATATTACCTTTCACACCTGTATTCAAATGTTAAGTGATGTCCAGTTGTTCTGACTCATAGTGACCCTGTATAAGATTTCCAAGGAGCGGCTGGTTTGGACCGACACTGCACTTCAAACCAACCTTGAGGTTGAGTGCTTATCCATGAGGCTTTGAAAAAAGTTAATTGGTCCAGGTACTGCTTGGTTGGGTCAAAGAATTTTTGGGGTAAGAAATCAATGCTATTAGATGCCTTGAATTATGTAACCTTTAAAAGGTAAGCAACGTGTAAACAGTATAAATCTTTTCTGGGTAGGGAAATGGTTTTAGTTAGTGAGTTATTTTAAGAACAAAATATATACAACGGTGTAAGAATTTCCACAAAGAAATATATTTTTTCTTCAGAATTTGGCTCAGAACACTGACATATTTACATTAAAATAAATTAAGATTTAAGTTTAATGTGATTACTTAACTGTATGTAATAATTTATGTCGGAATATATTAGTCTCTCCATGGATTTAATAAAAACTTAAGATTTGGTTTTTGATTCAGCATGATCCTTCCACTACTTGGTATGAAACTTGGTAGCAATACAATTGTTGGGATGACTGATGGCTCCTCATAGTACACCATGTCTTCCCAAACACTGATGGCTAAGTAGCCGAGGTTCCTTCACAGGAGTCACCATGGAATGTTTCACAACAATCAGACCTGGAGATGACTGAACAGCTGGTACAGTTCTAGGAATCAACTAATCTTATCTAGCTAGGGTTCACAGTGACCTACCAGGAAGGAAGGCAGTTCAAATGTGATCTTGAGTCCTTCAGTATATTTTGTATGTCAGCACTGAAGCAGTATGTTATAGAAACCCTAAGGTTTTCCTAAGAGGGAAAGAAAAGATCTGAAAAACCTATACATACGTTTTTTAGATCATCTGAAAGTACCCATAAGAACCTGTCACAGACAGGGTCAAGAATATGTCAAATTATTTCAAGTCAGACGCTTAAAGCTTTTGGTGGTGGTGGTGGTGAAGTGCCATTGAGTTGGTTCCTAGCCTGGAGTAAATCAGCGTTTATTTGCATTGTAAATGTGTTTTTGAAAATGAAAGCTTGGGTAATTTAGCAGAAAAAGCAGAGGTGGACCTGTGGTCAAATTTTGTTTCTAACACTCACTAACCACATAGCTTTAGGAAGACCACTTACAGTGAGCCTTCATTTTGCCTCTAAACTCAGAATTAGATCAACCTCACAAGTTCTAAAAATTAACGATAATGTCTGAAACACCTAGTTCAGAGCCTGTAGCACAGTAGGCACTTAATAAATGATAACTCTTTCTTCCAGGTCACAATTGATAACAAAAACCATCTTGCCTTTGTGTTTTGACACTAATGAAAGCACAGAACTATATATAGTCAGACTTCAGGTTCATAAATCTGGATGCTATCATAACACACTGACAGTCTAGCATCACTTTCAACATAACATGAAAAGCTTTTGGAGGCAGAGGGGTCTGACCTTTGGGACAGTTAATCTCCTTTTAGAGGCTATAAGCCCCAACAGCTTTCCAACTGTCCCTAAGAAGATAAGGACAAAGTTACCAAGGGCATCATAATTCAGATCCCTGGACTAAAGTCTAGGTTCTCCTGGAATAACAAAATACCTTCTTTTAATAAATAACATCTGGGGTGACAGATACACCCAATGTATTCACTGTGGTGGTGGTTTCACAGGCCTACACTTATATCAAAGCTTAACAATCCTATACACTTGAAAAAAATCTCAATAAAGCGATATTTTAAAAACAACTCAAGCCTTTCATGGTGAGATTTCCTTCTGTTCTCTGACTAGCTCTCATTATCTGTGAACTGGATTTGGAGTTAAAAGGGGAAGAATTATTAATCCAAATCCAGTACCACACTCCCACACAAAAGCAAGACCTGTGAATCTAAGTGGTACATTGAGAAAGCATCTATGTAGTAGCTCTTTGACAGAGAATTGTGACTGGTACATACAGGGTTTGAACTAGAAATTATCTCTAGTAGGAAAAATAGCATCTACAAATGGGGGGTGAGAAAGATGACTTTGGAAGACGAGACAGAGTATAAAAATGCTTATTCCTCTTCCAGAGTCACCTACTTTCATAGATAAAAATGCTCATCAAAAAGACAAGAACTTGATCTCACTACCTAGTTCAGGTGGTGTGACCTGTCTACCCTGGGGCATCTAGTAGATCCTGCGGGTTGTATAGTCCAGGACCATGCTGGCAGCACCAAGCAAGGCAGGATCCGCCAGATCTGAAACCACCACGTCCACATCTTGAACTGAGGGCAGCGCTTGCTGGCGGATGACATCCTTGATAGAGTGGATGTAGTGATGGGCTAGGACTCCAGAGAGGATCACAAGGGAAGGATTCATAGTGTGCAGGATGTTCACAACTCCCAGACCCAGAGCTGTTCCAGCTGCAGGAAAACAAGAGAGTCAGCTGAAGGAGGAGGCCAAGTCAAAACCACCAAAGAGGAGGGTGGAAAAGAGCCAGCAGCCAGAGTAAGTAATGGGAAGCAATAAAAATTAATAGGAAAAAACTATCATGTTATATACTCTGAAGCGAAAGGTGAGTATAAAATTATACTTTCATACCACATGATAAAATATGCAAAGATTTTATCATTTCAATAGTGGGTATCAAGCTGAATGGCAAACTAAGACTTTCTTACTACTCTCCTATATTTCTCTAAAATTCCTATAAAATGAACAAATGATATCTTCACAGTTGTAAAACACCTGTTTAGAAAGGCAGTGCTGCCAGTACCATGATTGGAATTCCCTTTTCTGCCTCAGTAAGTAGGATAAATTCCTCTGATGAGACACTCCAGAGTACTGGTCCCCATCTGTCAGTGAGTGGGGGGCCCTACCATGTTTGAGGACTCCCCCTGCAGCCAAGCTGCTCAGAGCCCTACACTCACCTGTTTTTAAGATGCTCTGTGCCTTTACATTGCCAAGTTTTGCAGCTTGGATGAGATGGAGTGCACCCACAGCTTCATCTTTTGGCACTGACATCCCTTCCACCAAGAGCAGGTCTTCTGTTTGAGCAGAGGTGAGAAGGGCAAGGAGAAGTTAATGAGTTGTAGGGACTCCTACTGTACAACTGTGCTTGTGGGCAGCAGGTCCCCAAGTGGAAAGATTCTTCATATTTGCAAAAAATTTTATCATCCACAAACATCCATACACATTGCCTTCAAGGTTTTTACTGCGCTGTTACTGGTTATATATAATCCAGAATCCCCCCTAACTCAAAAGTCCTTCACTCTGACCATAGCCTCCTAACCCTCTAGCTCCCTCACTTTTCACTTCTAATACAAGAAAACTAAAAAACCAAATGCACTGCCATCCAATTGGTTTCAACTCATAGCAACTCTATATAGAAGTTACGAGACTGTAAACCTTTATGGGAGCAGATGGTGGGTTTGAACCGCTGACCCTGCCTAATCCTTAATCCCTAGTACTCCGAGAGCTCTCTTAGCCATCCAGACTTGCCTGGCTGATTCTATTTCCCCTCTGACTCTCAGCCCCAAGACAGTGCATGGTACTCCTACCCTTGTATGGAGAGGGCAGGAGGGAACTTTGATACCCTTCTTGTCTGCACTACATTCCTTGGCCATTTTTGTTATTTCACTGGTACACCATAATGATCTTCCAGGAGTTTCTCTTGCATTAGACTATAAGCCATGCTGACTTTTCAGAACACATCCACCACAGCTTTAATTCAAATAGCTCTCTCAGGATTGAGAAATTTTAATATGCCCATGCATTTATCTCTTCATTAAAATGTGTGTAAACTATCCACCTTGTGCAAGAAGCTGAGAAAAGATGAAAGAAACCTAACCTGCTTTGTTACAGGTTAAGACCCCTGTCCACCTCTACCCCTAAGAAGGAGTATTATACGGGTCAAGATGAAGGACACTCAGCTTCAGGAGGAGGGAAGCCATCTTTTCTTTTAGGAAGTGAAAGGGCAAGCTTTTCAGCTCTTTATGGGATTTCTACTTTGAAGTACCTGTTTACTATTTGACTATTTCATTCATTAGGAAAAAGAAACCAACCATCATGTAGCTTTTTTGCTTCCCTCTGCAAGGCCATCCCAGAAGCATAGGCTTCAATACAGCCATGGCTCCCACACGAACAGTCAGGCCCATCCAAAGACACAACCAGGTGGCCAAGTTCTGCAGCACAGAAGGAGCTTCCATGGATCAATTCATGCTGATGGATGATGCCACCACCAATGCCTACAGTGAGAGACAAAAGCATTTTGAGGTAGCTCTTCATCTGCTCAGCATGGCTCTGGAATGTGATGTTCTCTAAAATGCCCACATTTATAGACAGCTTAAGCTTACTACGTACGAAGAGTAACTTTCTTGAATTTTGGATAAAAACCTTTTGAGTAGCTCCTTTGGTGCCATGTTACAACTGCTAAATGCATTCTGAGTTCAACCACAGCTCTAACAGACAATTCAGCGCGAACTGAGACTTGCCCTGCATTGATCACACACCACCTCAAGTACAACCCAACCACTCTACTTTCTGTGCAAAGACTTTCTGTAGAGGCCAGCTGCAACCCTCAAGAGGAACAGGGGCTAGTGGACTCAAATAGACAGTTCTGGATGGGAATCTGTGGATTTCAATCCCCATTAGCCTGAGGCAATTTCTATAATACATCCATTTATGGGTTTCTTCCTACTCTGTTTCAGTCTTCCCTCTCTTTTACTCCTGCTTCTCAGGATTGCCTCCAATGTAAAATGCCTAATTCCCTGTCTCAGGCTCTGTTTTTGGAGAAATGACTGTCTTGTTATAATGGACCTTAGGAGTTAACTAAGGACTAAACAGCATTCTGGTGTTTTTGTTTTGCTGCTAGAGGATTCTGCTTTTTAGCATTGTTCTGTTAACTTCTTGTGCCCGTTCTTTAGCTTCCACCCCTCTAATTTAAAGCTTACTAAATGGAGTCCTACTGTGGCATGGTGGGATAAGCACTAGACTGCTAACAGCAAGGCCAGCAGTTCAAGCCCACCAGCAGCTTCATGGAAACCCTATACTGGGTCGCTGTGGGTTGGAACCAACAGCACTTAACAACAACAACAATTGCACTAAGCTAGGAAATGTTATTCAAATTTGGTCAAACTAGCCAAGACAGAAAGGGGATGCATGAGTTTAAAAGGGAAGTACTGTGAAGTAGAACTGAAGAGTACACAAGTTTAGAAGTTAAACATGTCTGGATCAAATACTGGTTCAATCATTTTCTAACTCTATTTGGTGCCTCATTTAGGAAATGGGATATGAATGACATTTTTTAGAAGAGACAATGAGTGACAAAGTGTTGCTATGTGCCATCCAGTTGATTCTGACTCCTATGGACCCTCTAGGACAGCAGACCTGCCCCACAGGCTTTACTAGGCCGCAGTCCTCACAGCAACAGATCACCAGGTTTTTTTGTCCCTCGGAGTGGTGCAGCAGCTGGTGAGTTCGAACCATAAACTTTCTGATTAGCAGCCAAGTGCTTAACCATTGTGCCACCAGGACTCTTATTTCCTAGTTCAAAATGACATGGGAGGTCAGAGAAGATGGCAGAGTGGGGCATTTCATCCCTCATGAAAGGAACAAATAGACTGGCAAAATTTGTCAGAGTACACTTTTTCAGAACTCCAAAAACTAGCCTTACAAGAAAAACAACTCAATTTCAATTAAGAGCTTTGTGGCTCCCAGTTTAGTGGGATAACAACCCACATTCCAGCACAGGTACCAGTACCTGGGAGAAGACTAGACTTTATTCTCAAAAGAACTGTGTTTGTTTGCTTTGACCTGTCTGGTGGCTCCCTGGAGGGCTTGCTTTCACCTCACCTACTGCAGACTGCTCAGTGCTGAAGCGAGAACAGGGGTCACAAGACACCCATGTTTCCTGTAGTACTCTTCACAATAACTAAAAGGTGGAAACAATCCAAACAGTCACCAACAGAGAAACAGAACTAAATTGTGGTATAGACAATAATGAAATAGTCACAAGAGAAAAGAAACTCTGAGACATGGGACTTACTAAACAAGACTTTAAATCCTGTATTTTAAATATACTCAACCAGCCGGAGGAAATGAGGACTAATGACTAAAGGACACAAGGACTAGAGGAAGCCATGAGAACAAGGAGATAAGAACCATGTCTCTACTTCACACTCAAATTGAGAGAGATTATAAAAATGAACCAAAGAGAAATTCTGGGGTTGAAATTTACCATTAACTAAAATGTAACTTTTCACTAGAAGGCTCCACAGCAGATTTGAGCAGGCAGAAAAAAGAATCAGTTTCCAAAATAGGTCAATTGAGACTATCCAGTGTGAGGAACACAAAGAAAAAATAATCTGAACAGAGCCTGAGAGACTTGTGGGACAGCACCAAGTGCACCAACATTACTCCTGTGAGGGAGTGACGGGATTGTGATGAACTGCCTGATGGATACTGGGTTTCTTCTGGGTGATAAAAATGTTCTGGAATGACAGTGATAGTTGTACAACATTGTGAAGATATTAAAAACCACCAAATTGTACATTTCAAAATAGTAAATTTTATGTTTCGTGGTTTTTCTTTCAATAAATAAGAAACAAATGAAGTAATCTACTTCATGAGTGGTTAATAGATGTTGTTGTTAAGTGCCTTGGAGTTGGTTCAGACTCATAGTGACCCCTGTACAGGGTTTCCAAGGAGCAACTGTTGAGTTTGAACCACTAAACCTTGCAGTTCAAACTGAACTTTCAATCCAGTTCTTATCCTATAGCACCATACCAGGACTACAAACGCCATGCCAGGACTCCAGGCTAATGGATGGTACCTGTATTATGACAGTGAACATTGGTTTTCCCATAATATTAAGAAGTGTCATTACAATCCCTATTTGACAGATGAACAAAGAACAAGAGGTTATGTACTGTTCCCTAAGAGGTAGAGCTTGGATTCACACTCATGTTGAACTTTCTTGAAAGCCTGGACCCCTAACCACGATGTACATTTCCCTTAAAAGGATGATGGTGTTGGTGGTGGAGTTGGTTCTGACTTATACTGACCCTGTACAGTTTCCGAGGCTATAAATCTTTACGGGAGCAGAAAGCCTCATCTTTCTCCCACAGAACCGCTGGTAGTTTTGAACTGCTGACTGTGAGGTTAGTAGCTCGACTCATAACCACTATGCTACTGTTGTTGTTATGTGCCCTGGAGTCGGCTCTGACTCATAGTGACCCTGTACAGTGTTTCCAAGGCTGTAAATCTTTATGGGAGTAGAAAGCCTCCTCTTTCTCCTGCGGAACAGCTGGTAGTTTTGCTGACCCTGAGGTTAGCAGCCCAATTCGTAACCACTACCAGAGCTCCTTAAAAGGATGAGTAAATACCAGTATTTTTTCAGCAAGAAATCATAAGGCATAAAAGGTCAGTCCAATTTGCCCCAAACATACCAGTCTAAGTCCTAAAGCAACCTTTGCTTACTTCTCTTACCCGTGCCTGTGATAAGTGTCACAAAGTTTTCCAGTCCTTTTCCCTGACCAAACTTCCTTTCTGCTAGGGCAGCACAGTTGCCATCATTGTCTACCCATACAGGGAGATGCAACGTGTCAGACAAGGGCGTCCTGAGGTCCACAGAGTTCCATTCTTGGATCAGTTTTGTTGAATGCAGCACAATTCCTTCTCGAGGATTTACACGACCACCTGTGGAAATACCTAAGGTCCGCCACAAACCCAAGGAAGAGAATTCTGATTAGTAACTGTAGGAGAGTGTGCCAATGTTCTTGGCTCAGAATACAAATCAATTCACTCAAAATCTAAGGCAAACACTACCCAGGGATGGCAAGAAAATACAAGGCAGTTCTGATCACAGGCTATAGTTCCCCACAGATTGCTACCACCAATGCTTCTACCATAATGCCTGTGGGTATTTCAGGCAGTTCCCCTGATGGGTCTCACAAACAGGACCTGGAGTCATCTTTACAAAGGGCCACAGAGCTAATTCACAATCTCACCTACTCCCAAAATCCTGCAGTTCAGTTTTACAGCTTCTGCTGCAGCTTCCACGCACATCTGTAGGATTAAACTAATTCTTTCTTCATAAGTTTTAGGATTGAATTGAGTATACTTCTTAACAATGTCACCCTAAAAGAGGAAAAACAAGGTGTGTCTCACTGGTCTTAGTTAAGGATAATACCTTAAATCTTTTGACCTTTTTCATGCTAAGCCAGACACTGCTATTGACAGAGATAACTGCACAGGAAAGAGCCAGTGGATTGGGCTGGTTTCCAAATATTGTCAGATAGTAGTTTCCTGGGAAGTCATCTGGACATACCGCTGCTCAAACAGTGAAAACGCCACAGGCGATCAAATAGGTCTGTCTTAAAGTAATCTGAATCTAGTCTTTTCAAAGGTTGTATTGTACTCTGTCCTTTCAGGTTGACAATTTTTTCTTGCTTAAATATCAAAGTAAATAAGTTGATGCCCTAATTACTTTATCTGTAATCAGCTCTAGTAACTGAAGCCAGTCATAGTATGGATAGCATATTTGTTGTTGTTAAGTGCCATTGAGTTGGTTCTGAGTCATAGAGATTTTGTATAGGGTTTCCAAAGAGCAGCTGGTGGATCTGGATCACTGACCTTCTAGTTGGCAGTCCAATGCTTATCTTACAGTACTATACCAGGACTCTGGATTTCCTATTTACTCAGTTATTATGTTGGCTGGCACAAATGCCACCTATTTCAATTACTGTGCTTTGTGATATACTTTAATATCACACAGATACCCATTACCAGTTGCCATTGAGTAGATTCTAACTCTTGGCAACCTGATGTGTTACAGAGAACTGCTCCATATGATTTTCGTAGCTGTAATCTTTATAGGAGGAGATTGCCAAGCACTTCTTCCATGCCACTGGGTAGGTATAAATGACCAACCTTTTGTAGTCAAGCATAAACTGTTTGTACCAACCAAGGGCCTTATCAGACAGGGATGGCCCATCCTAATCTTGTTTAAAAAAATTTTTTTTTCTTTGCTCTTCTTACTTTCGTCTTATTTTAAGTAAATTTCAGAATAATGTTGTTTAACTTTTAAAGAAATCCCACTGATTTAGTATTAATTTTATAAAATTTTAAAAATCCCACCAAACTGTTTAAATTTATAAGATAATTTGGGAAGTGTTGACATTTAAAAATAGGATTCTCATCTAGGATATTTTCTATATAGATCACATAACTTTAGTTTAGGTTACTCTTAGCGGAGTTTTTTGTTGTTGTTCTGAATAGGATCTCTTTCTATTATAGTCTCTAGTTACTAATGGTTTTTACATTATCAAATATGAGGGTTAAAGTTACCGCTAATGACTGTCAATAAAAATAAACCTTATATATAACCCCAGAGACTATGGCCTTTAAACACACTCAGACCTGGAACTGAAATCACTCCTCCCCACCCCCATCCTCCAATCACCTCCACAACCCCTCTGATCAACCTTCAGCCACAAACAGACAGCCTCTAAGGTGAACAATATCACCAAGGAGGTATAGACTTCAACCACAGGAGAGTTAAAGGGCAGCAATGGCCCAGGGATAAAGCTCAGAAGAAGGGAAAATGGAAAAGGTCAACATAGGAAGAAAGTAGGAAGAGTGCTGTTACACTGTAGGGATTACAGTCAGTGTCACAAAACAAAATGTATATGAACTGTTGAATGGCAAACCCATGTGCTCTGTAAATGTTCACTCAAATCACAATAGAAAGTTAAAAAAACAAATTTACAGGAGTGTTTAACTGTTACTGGGCATTAAAATCACCTGGGCAGCCTTTAACAAAATGCCTGGCTCCCACCTCCAGCGTTTCAGATTAGTGGGGTGGGGGAAATGGGAGGAATGGGGCATCTTTGCTTCTGCATTTCTTTTTTAAACTTTTGGGTAATATTAGTGCAGTCAAAGCTGGCAAAGGCTGACTTAAGGAAAAGGTCAAACTTTTGCCTACAATTTCATATAAGCAGACATTTACTGATATTTATATATTTATCATAGTATCTGGAGCCCATAGTGTGGCGCTGTGGGCTAATGTGCCAGATTGCAAAGCCATTTGAACTGTAAGGTTGGCGCTTCAAGCTCACCAGATGCTCCTCGGAAACCCTATACAGGGTCGCTATAGGTCGGAACCGACTCGAGAGCACTTCACAACATCATAGTATCTAGTCATTTATTAATTTACAAGCTTGCTTGCTTATTCAATTGTCTATCTATAAATATTTTGTTTTACCCTTTCCACATGTTGTTGTTATGTGCTGTGGAGTCGGTTCCAGCTCATATGGTTTTCCAAAACTGTAAATCTTTACAGGAACAGAAAGCCTCATCTTTCTCCCACAGAACAGCTGGTAGTTTCGAATGGCTGACCGTAGGATTAGCAGCCCGATTCGTACCTACTAAACTACCAGACATCTTTTCCACTTAATATCCCTTTTTTCTATTCCTGGCTTTATTTATTCCCTTCAGAACTTCCAGGGTTATGTTAATGTTGCAGAAAAGTGCCCATCTTCTTGATTTTAATAAGAACACCTCTAGAATTTCACTATTACGAAGGATGTTGGCTGTTAATATAGAATAGATCACCTTTATGCTAAGAAAATATTCTTCAATTAATACTTTTCCAAGTATATTGATGAGAGACATTTTAACTTCTCTTGAGAAAGTCATGTTTCATTTTTGCTTATTTGACCTAATGATATTACATATATATTTTAAATGTTTTATTGTGAATTATGTGATAGTTTACATGAGAGAACATTAGTTTTACATTCATCCTATCGTATGCTTTCATTGCCATGGTTATAATCCCCTCCATGCATCATCAACTAACCAAAGGGTATAATACCCTACAAGTCTGCCTCCCCCCTCCACCCAGTTGTCAGTACACAGCCCTTCTCCCTCTCTGGGTCTAAAGTCCCCGGCTGCTCCATCTCTCCACATCATCGTCCCTGCCTCCATCTCTGGCGTCACTGCTTCTTTGGGTAGGGTCCCGCTTTCCGCTCTTTTCCCTTGATGGTCCCAGGGACCTCCACTCCTAGACTACAAAGTTAAATCACGCCCCTACTTTTGCTACAAAACATCTACCTTTATAGTTACAACCCTCACAATCAGTCCTGATAACAATTATTCACTATTATATTGCAAGAGACCTATCCGCCTCTCCTTTTCATCAGCCCCGCACAGACAGATTGGGTACTACTCAGTGGAGATTCTACCTTCCTCCATGCCCTCTGGATCTAGGTTCCCTCTTGAAAGCTTGTAAGCCAGTTACTTCTTGTCTTTGTAGCCCCCACCCCATTTTGTGTAGCCAATTTCCAAGCTGCCCATCCCTGTCTACTCTGTGTATGGAGGGGGTGGGAATGATCCTTGCTGTAAAGATTTATTCCCTCTTTTGAGCTATTGCATCCATAGGTGTAGGTCAAGTGCATCAAACTGTATCAGATTACTCTTTTTTTTTCTCCTCTTCTTTCTTCTTCCTAATGATATTATATTAACAGATTTCTTTTAACTTTGTGTTTAAAATATTCATTATTCCTCACAGATTCCTGAAACTTTATACATCAACAATTTTTTAAACAAAGACTTTTCTTCTAGGCTTACTTGTTAAGTCAGTACAGCATTTTTAATGTGGAGAATTTGGTATTTTTTGAAGACTCAACTTCTGTCAAAATTATGGTGATGGTTTGGTAAATACATTAAAGGTTTGCTGTACTTAATAAAGAGCAGAATTGCAAAAAAAAAGTAAAATGGAGAGCCGATACAACTGATCTTTTATTCTAGAGGAGAGGTAGACACCAATGCCTGGGCATTTACAATCATCAGTATGCTTCATGTTGCCAAGTATAGAATTGTAGGTCTCCTGGTGGAAGCTCTCTGGTGCCTAAGGGGTCGTTCCCATAGTTAACTCAGGTCAACTACCTAACAATTTCCTTCTTTGAAATTTTAATGCTTAGTAAAATGATGAGACAAACATAATGGATCCAAAATTCAATTCTATGAACAAATGATTTGAAGCACTTGTACATGTTCCTAGTTCTACTTTCCAATTATACATTTTAAAATTAACTACTTACATGGTATATAAAACAAACCGTTTAGGAGTTATTTTACCTTCATGCTGACTATTGCAACTCGGAGGTTTGTCCCACCCAGATCAACAGCCAATGCACTTAGAGTTTCAAGAATATGGTCTATATCTTGAGATATATTCTCCTTCACAGGAGGAAAGCAGAATTTCTTTTGTAGTGGCTCTTGAAGATCAATAGATTTGAGAAATTTCAAAATCCTGGGAACAGCATTCCCATCTCCATATATCTTTGAACTGTAACAGGCAAATAGTTAAATTAAATGCTTCTACCATACATGTCAAACATTGAAAACATGTTTTTAACAAAATTTGATATTTCAGATTTAAAAATAGATGTACTTCTTCATTTAAAAATAACAACATCTAGATCTCTTCAGCAGCATAGTAACTGTTATGTTATTGTTGTTACATGTTTTCAAATTGGGTCTGAATCATAATGATCCTATGTACAATAGAACAAAGCACTGTTCGATCCTGCACCATTCCCATGATTGATAGTTGCTATGTTTGAGCCCATTGTTGCTGCCACTGTGTCAATCCATCTTGTTGAGGGTCCTCCCCTTTCTTACTGATCTCCTTCTCCAGGGACTCATCCCTCTTGCCCACGTGTCCAAAATGCAAGAGACAAATTTTCACCATACTTGCTTCTTAGGAGCATTCTGGTTGTATTCCTTCCAAAACAGATGTATTTGTTCTTCGGGCAGTCCATGTTACTTTCAATATTGTTCACCAACACCACAATTTAAACACATTGACTGTTATGTCTTACTTATTCAGTGTCCAACTTTCACATGCATATGAGGTGACTGAAAATACCATGGCTTAAGTCAGGTACAACCTGGTCCTCAAAGTAACATCTTTGCTCTTTAATACTTTGAAGAGATCTTTTGCAGTAGAACTGCTTAATACAATTGTTGTTTTTGTTAAGTGCCATCATATAGTTCTGACTCATAGCGACTCTATATAGGGTGTTTCCAAGGAGTAGCTGGTGAGTTTGAACCACTGACATTGTGGTTCAAACTGATCTTGTGTTCCAGTGCTTATCTTACAGTGCCACATACATCTTTGGATTTCTTCCT